TCTCAGAAAAATACTAGCATATTATCATAATAAATGACATCATGGCATGATCTACTTATCAAGGTTTACAGTAATATCTGACCATATTTTCCAAGTAAATTTTTTATTTCCACTTGAAGGAAAATGATTTTAATTTTTATTTAATTCAACAAATATTTAATGTGTATCAAGTACATACTGGCTTTATGGTCATAAAAACAAATAAGGTAAGATTCCTTACCTTTTCTCCCTCAATAAGTCCATTAATGCTGGAGAGTGGAACAGACAGGAAAGGTATACAGAACAACTACACAAGCAACTAAAACAATATGGAGGGGCCGGTGCTGTGGTGCAGCAAGTTAAAGCCTTGGCCTGAAGTGCCAGCATCCCTTATGGGTGCTGGTTCTAGTCCTGGCAGCTCCTCTTCCGATCCAGCTCTCTGCTATGGCCTGGGAACACAATGAAGGATGGCCCAATTGCTTGGGCCCCTGCACTGGCATGGGAGACCCGGAAGAAGCTCCTGGCTCCTGGCTTCAGATCAGCTCAGCTCTGGCTGTTGCAGCCATTTGGGGAGTGAATCAGTGGATGGAAGATCTCTATCTCTGCCTCTCTCTGTAGCTCTTTCAAATAAATAAAATAAAATAAATTTAAAAAATCACAACAATGTGGAAATTACTGTAGTAGAAATAATAGCACGAGAAAAATGTTATATAAATGTAAGGATGCAATGCTCATTCTGCCTGGGCTTTCTCCTGAACCACAAAGTAAAACAGCCAAGGGCTCCCTTGACACGTACTTGGATGTCTAACTGGCATCTCAAACATCTCTGAAACCAAGTTGCTAATTTGATAACCCAATCTATCTGACCCTATTGTTATACATGTTAAAGAATCACTACACTATTTTTCTAATTGCACAGGTCAAAATTTTCAGAGTAATCCTCAACTGCTTTTCTCACAACCTACATCCAATCCACAAGCAAATCCTGTCAGGTCCATAGGCTTTCTTCAAAATGCATCCCAAATCAGAGCAATTCTTAACACTACTATCAATCAGTCTAATGTAAGTCAATTTTCACACCACTTCTTAGGGGAGCAATAACTTCCTTAAAGGGCTCTCTGCTTCTGCACTTGACTCAAGTTGTTTTGCTAAAATGGAAAGTCGGTTCACAACAATTCTCAAAAGCCAACACTGGCTTCCCATCTCTCTGAACAGAGCTGAAGTCCTGAACCAAGAACTGTGAGGATCCAACAGTCCAGACTGTTATCCAGAACATCCTTCCTTGTTCCTCTCTGCTCCGAGACACTCAAGTCCTCAGAACCTCCCTTGCTTCCACCCTGCTTCAACTCGGACCTCAAATCTAGCTGACAAATTTCTACCAAAAATAAATAAATAAAAATCAACTCCCAAATCAATTTTAGTAGAGCAAACTTCTAGACTGTGATGGGGAAAGAGAGTTCTGACACAAAGTGCTGTCAATCTGCCACCCTGCTGGCTGCACTGCCAGCTACCTTTTCTTGTGCTCCCTTTCTCTGATTCTAATAAGCAATCCTTCTCCTTAGTACTACAAAAATAGTTCCTTCAACAACCAGATGTCCTTTGTATTTTACTTTGCACCAAAAAGCATCTTCAGAAATAAACACAGTTCTCTTCCTAAAAAGAACACTGTGAATAAAATTTTCTCCAAATTTGAATACCTAAAATCATAGAATTTTTTGCCCATTTATTTGCTAAAGAAGAAAATTTTAAAGCACTGGTAATTGTTCTACCAGACACAGCTAATGTCAGTATTCTAGTTTGTGTCCTTCTGGTTTTCCCATGTAGAGTCAACAATAAGTTTTAAAAGGAGGGGCCAGTGCTATGGTGTAGCGGGTGGGGCACAGGTTCAAGTCCCAGCTGCTCCACTTCTGATCCAGCTTTCTGCTATGGCCTGGGAAAGCAGTGGAAGATGGTCCAAGTCCTTGAGCCCCTGCACCTGCGTGGGAGACCCTGAGGAAGCTCCTGGCTCCTGGCTTTTTTTGGGTGCAGCTCCAGCCATTGCAGCCAACTGGGCAGTGAACCAGCGGATAGAAGACCTCCCTTCCTCCCTCACTCCCTCCTTCCCTTTCTTCTCTCTGCCTCTCTTTCTTTCTCAGTGTAACTCTGAATTTCAAGTAAATAAATAAATCTTTAAAAAAAATTTTAAAAGGAATAGTCATCTTTATTCCAATTCCTGATCAAGATATCAAAATGGGGATGAGAGGTCTCAGACAGCATCTTCTGTGAAACATTTTCTAACTAAAAAATTAAAAAAAAAAAAAAGAATAAATTCCACATCAAGATGTTTATACACCATGTCTATTACTCACCCCAAGGATTATTTGAATCTAGTAAAATTCTTTCAACTTTAATGTTCATATATAGCTACCATTGTTTCCACATTACAAGTGGCAATGATGAATATATTGAAAATCAATCCCAACCGAGTTCTGGACAATTTTATGCTAAGTGACCACCGTAATTATTTTGTTATATATACTGTTTTAGTGCCTTTTAAAGCCTGAAAATCTAGTTTTGTCATTACTCATGACCTAAATAAAGATGCAGTATTCAGGAAGTTAAGAAAAGCAGGGGGAGAGAGAAAGGAAGAAAGAAAGGGTATTCAAACAGGTACAAAATAGCTTAAAATAAATTGTCACTCTACAAACAGGAAGAGCCTAAATTTTCTATGCTGGGAATGTCTGCTTAAAAACACATTCCCAAGGGTAGGCACTGCGGCAAGGTGAGGTGAGCTAAGCTGTCATTGGGATGTCGACATCCCATTTGGGAATATGTATAGCAATGGGAATGCTAAGCTAAGTCCCAGCTTCTCTGCACTTCAGATCCAGCTTCCTACTAACGCACTTAGGAGGGAGCAGATGAGGGCCTAAGTGTTTGGGTTCCTGCCACTCAAGTGGGAGAACCAGACTGAGTTCTGGGCTCTTGGTTCTAGTCTGGCCCAGCCCTGGCTGTTCAGGCATGTGGGGAATAAAGCAAATGGAAACGATCCTCTTTCTACCTCCCTTCTCTGTAACTCTGTCTTTCAAACAAATCTTTAAAAAGTGTGTGTGTGTATATATATATATATGTGTGTGTGTGTGTTTGTGTGTGTATATATATTTTTTTCTATAAAATAGTACCACTCCTGAAGTGTGGATACATGAAAATTTGTCACTGTAGATGTTTCCTAACCTATAATAAATCCTTAGCAGCCATAAGAAAGATTATTCCTTTAAAGTTCTTATTTACAGTAAAATCCTGTGACTACAATAGTCATTTCCACTATGCTTTCTTATAATTATTATTTCTACAGTAAATAAATGCTACTCAATTCTCTTTACTCAAAAATATTTTAAAGATCTATCCATTTATCTCTCTATTTTAAAGGCCGATCTGCAAACCTAGCTTCTAATTGTCGATGTCCTTACCTACACTGAGTTCTGTCATTACATTTTGTCTATCATTCAGATATTATTTTCCATCTTAAATGTGACAGATTATAAAATTTTTTTCACATTTTTTACATAGGAGATTTTACCTATCATGTATGGTCCATCTCCCACAATCAACACATTAATAAGCCCTATGAAATTCCTTCTGCCTGCAGATAAAATGAGTCTTAAATGTTAAAAGTAAACCACATTATTTTTATAGTTAAGGAAAGTGAACTTTGCTTAAAAAACTAAAGGACATTTTCAAATAAATACTCTCAGTTTGTATATTATCGGCAAATTGAGGACTAAATAATATTTCCCTGTTAAGACTGAGGGAGATAATGAAAAGCATTACAACTTCTATTCCTATGTTCAAGAGGGAAAAAGTTAATGCAGTCAATCTCACACGAGTCGTCTATTTTAACAAAGCATTTTTCTGAATAAAAAAACTTGTACATAAATCTGCTTCTTCAATAAAGAAGGGTGTATATATTGAACTCTCAGGCAGACTGAAAAGGGATGCTCAAGACTCAAGCTGACTCGAGCAAATTTCCATAGGACAGAGGGTGTCTGGAGACAGGAGCCACGAAGAGGAAAGCAAATTTGAAGGGAACTTGTCCAAAGAGAATGGAACAATGTTCTCAAACCAGCTCAGAGGTCACTATACAAATTTGGTAGTTAATTTTAAAGAAAAAATTATGCTGTCCTTGTTACTTCTAAAAATCTTACAAAAATACATTTATGCCAAGATTCAGTACCCGCACTGCATAATAACTTTTACTGGCAATTACTCTATGAGCCTACAAAGTCAAGTTCTTTAATTCCCAAAGCACTGTGAGTCAGTGTGACACAGTAACAGAACCAAGGCAAGAATATGCAACTCTTAGAAAAAGGAAAATACTACTTGGGTGTGTACTGCCATCCCATGCAGTGAGGTTTTCTAAAATCAAGAACATAATTACCTTACTTCTTAATATTATTTGTTTTCAAAATGCTGTCTTGAATTCTGTGAATTTGGCATTAACCTCTGAAATAATGGTATTGAAGTTGCCATAAGCAATAGAAACCTAAGAAAAATTTTTGTTGTCAAACTTCTTGGGAATCAAGTTTAAAAGTCAGTCACACACACACACCCCTCATTTATAATCTTTTTAAGTGTTCAGCAATTAATGAACAAATCAACACTTAGCTAATTTGATATTCTCTAAAATATTTTTATTTTAATAACTCCTATATTACTATATTAAAATATGAATGCACTGAACATCCAGAAATACTCTAGTTTTTAATGTTAATACAACTCAGATAAACTACATATTTGCAAATCAAGCACATGCACACACACAGAAGGTTGCCCGTTATATTGATTTTCAGTGATCCAGTTTTATTTGTGTAACACTGCCTGGCTTGGGTTATAGCTATGGTCAATGCTTATTTTCTTTGCTACTGGGTTGTACCCAATAATATTTAACCTTTGTAGTGAATGAAAAAAAGTAAAATCATGTTTATCTGATTTTTAAAGGAGATCATTTTTTAAAGATGTTCTTTCTTATTGCTAGTGTTACTCACCTGTTTGAACATCAATAACCATCTGATGGCCCCCTCTCATTCCTGGTCGGTTATCCTCTCCATCACCTGAAGAGAAACAAGTTCTTTTAAAGAACTAACAAATAACAACTGCAAATCCAGAATGACTTTATTCAGAAGGCTGTAATGAGTATAAGTTGAGCATGCCTTTCCAAATTAGGAATCCAAATCTTTTCAATGCGGACATGACACTCAAAAGGTTTCAGAAGTGCGGAACATTCTGGACTTCAGATCTCGCATGCTTAACCACTAAATTCTATGCAAACAGTTTGAAATCCAAAAAGCAAACCTCTGAAATGTGAATACACTTTTGACCCCAAACCTTCTGGATAAAGGAAATTCAACTTGTACTAAAAATCACCCACATTTACATTCTCAAAAACTTTATAAGTAAAAGAAACAATATGACTTGTATCTATATTTATAATAATTATCTAGGAACAATGTGACTTAAATCTGTGTTTTAATAATTACCTTATTCTTTTTTCCAATTGATTTTAAGTTACACTAAGGCAACTGGAAGCTATTTTCATTTTATTTATGATCAATGCCATAACACAACAAAGACATATGATATTCCACAAAAACATAAGACAAGAATTTCTAAGTTACCAGAGTGCCAAAGTGAAGGTGGAAAACATTTACAAAATTATATCTCATGTCTACAGAGGGATACTTCAAAATATCTGAGGAATAATGGATTTAAAAGGTAAGGTTTATTTGGTGCAAAAATATTTTGAAATCTATACACAGTTTTTTTCATAATATATATTTTTCATGAATCTTCTGAAGACTTCTCATTATGGATGGATTTCAAAAAAACTCTGCACCAAAATAAACTTATCTTTGGCCTCTATCTTCCACAAATTTGTTGAAGTATTCTTGTATTTCATGGGTATAGCTCATAGTTAAATAAAAAGTTTTAAATTCAGGGGTTGGAATAGTAGGTTAAGCCTTCACCAGTAGCACCGGCATCCCATATGGGCACAGTTCGAGTTCCAGCTGCTCCATTTTGATCCAGCTCTCTGCTGTGGCCTGGGAAAGCAGTGGAAGATGGCTGAAGTGCCTGGGACCCTGCATCCACATGGAAGACCCAGAAGAAGCTCCTGGCTCCTGGCTTCAGATCAGCCTAGCTCTAGCTCTGGCCACTGCAACCATTTGGGGAGTGAACCAGAAAATGGAAGACTTTCTTTCTTTCTGTCTCTCTCTCTCTCTCTCTCCCTCCGTCCCTCTCCCCTCCCCGCCATAACTCTCTCAAATAAATAAATAGATAAATATTCTTAAAAAAAAGTTTTACAGTTCATAAAACCAGCTACTGAGAACTAAGATGTTATCAAATTTTTTTTTTAAAGATTTATTTATTTATTTGAAAGGCAGAGAGAGAGCGAGGTCTTCCATTTGCTGGTTTACTCCCCACTTGGCCGCAATAGCCGGAGCTGCGCAGATCTGAAGCCAGGAGCCAGGAGCTTCTTCCTGGTCTCCCATGCGGGTGCCGGGGCCCAAGGACTTGGGCCATCTTCTACTGCTTTCCCAGGCCACAGCAGAGAGCTGGATCAGAAGTGGAGCAGCCAGGACTTGAACCAGCGCCTATATGGGATGTTGGCACTGCATACAGTGGAATACAGCTATGCCACAGCGCCAGCCCTCAAGTTTTATATTAATGATAAATTCCTTATTGTATTAAACTTGTGCCAATATTTCAGAAATCAGTTCCCACATAAATTTATCAGCTATTATTATCTGAGCAATACTGAGGAAGCATTAGATTTATTTACTTTGTGGGTGACCCTGTGCCTGGCTGGGAGACTGCCTGTCTAGCCCATGCAGGAGGGTAAGAGGGCATGGCACACCATGCCTGACAGCAAAGACCCTGGTCGGGGGCTCAGCACACTGAGACCCACGTATGACTCGACTGCTGCCAGGCGGCAGAAACCCCAGCCACATTTCTCCCACCCCCACTTCCTATTGAGGGACCTTGTGATTGTCAACTAGGTGAATGGCTCCTGGGTGTGGCCCAGACCCATAAGAAGGCTACATGGGCTATGAGAACTTCAAGCTGACTGGAGAAGCGTAGAGCACCAGTACCTGCTTTATCCTATGGAATTAGCGTTGCTACCCTGAGCTAGCTGCTCCCCTTTGCCCGCCCTATACAAGCTTGTGCCTGACTGTGAATAAACGGACACGTTCACTGAAACTGTCTCCGGTGCTGCTTCTCCAAGAACGCCGTCCCCCCACCATCCCGACTGTGGGCCTCGCAGGATGAGTCTGCATTACTTTGATTCTCACTTCCTTACAGAGTTTATCAGGCAGTTTTTATACATTCAGGGGCAGGTGTTTAAGTTAAGGCACCCGCCTCCCACATCACAGCACCTAGGTTAGATATTCAGTGGGGGCTCCTGACTCAGGCTTCCTGCTAATTCAGACCATGGTAGGTAGGGGTGATGGCTCAAGCAATTTGGTTCCTGTCACTCATGTGGAGGATCTGGACTGAGTTCCCAGCTCCTGACTTCGGCCCAGCCCAGTCCCGGCCACCGTGAGCACTTGAGGAGTGAACTAGCAGGTGGGAGCTCGCTCACTTGCTTGCACTCTCTTGCTCTGTTTCTCAGTAAGTAAATGAAAGATGTATAATCAGTGAAACTTTAAACTTTCTAAAGGAGAAACTATTCAACGTATAATTTACACAAAATCTTACATAAATGAAAATAAAACTTCATTTCAATAGTTCAAAAAGTTATATGATTCTAATGTATAACTTGATATAAAGCAGAAAGCCTAAGGTTTTCCTCACTTTCTCATTAGGTTGAATATATTACCATGCCTAATAAATTTTCCTATATTAATTTTCTCCTGTGAAAAACTGAGACTACCTCTTGTTTTGTATTTTTTTTTTAAAAAAAGATTATTTGTTTGAAAGGCAGAATTACAGAGAGGCAGAGGCAGAGGCAGAAAGAAAGTCTTCCACCTGCTGGTTCACTCTCCAAATGGCCGCAATGGCTGGAGCTGGGCTGATCTGAAGCCAGGAGCCAGGGGGTGCTTTCCCACGCGGATGCAGGGGCCCAAGGACTTGGCCACCTTCTACTGTGTTCTCAGGCCATAGCAACACAGAGCTGGATAGGAGGAAGAGCAGCCAGGTCTCCATCTGGTGCCTATATGGGATGCTGGCACCGCAGGCGGCAGCTTTACCTGCTGTGCCACAGCATGGCCCTCAGACCACCTCTTTTTATTAATTTCACAAGGGAACTTACAAAAATGACTGAAGTGTCAGTTCTTATAAATATATTCAGAAAAGAAGATGCAAAACTGAAGTGTTTCACTACCACAGCATTCAACAGCTAATCATTCAGAAGCTCCTTGCAAATCTTTTCTCCTTTCTAATAGTGAGGTAGCCTTCACATTCTTACAGTTCATTATCACTAAAACTTTGGTCTTTTCTCCTTTCCTCTACCCAATTACTTACTGTTGCCACTGATTTAGAAAACATTAAAATAAACTCATTTTCAGTATGTCTGCATTTTATATACTAATCACTTAGTTATCCAATACACAATGGTAGTCTGCTTGCTACAACACATATGTCTTCAAAGAAAATTGCCTCAGAAGTGACTGTCAAATAAGAGATTGATGTTCACATAACACAGAATGGACTCACAAGCAATTTTCCCTGCATATCAGTATTTAAGCCTATCAAAATAAAGCCTTCTGAGGCCAGCGTTGTGCTGTAGCGGGTAAAAGAAAGCTGCCAACTGTGATGCTGGAATCCCACATGGGATTCAAATCCCCGCTGTTCCACTTCCAATCCAGCTTCCTGCTTACGGCCTGGGAAAGAAGTGAAAGATGGCCCAAGTATGTGGACATGGGAGATGCGGATGAAGTTCCTTACTCCTGGCTTCAGCCTGGACCAGCACTGGCCGTTACAACCATCTGGGAAGTGAACCAGTGATGGAAGATCTTTCTGTGACTCTTTCACAGTAAATAGATAGAAGGGACCGGCGCTGTGGTGTAGCAGGGAAAGCCACTGCCTGCAGTGCCAGCATCCCATATGGGCGCCGGTTTGAGTCCTGGATGCTCTACTTCCGATCCAGTTCTCTGCTATGGCCTGGGAAAGCGGTAGAAGATGGCCCAATTCCTTGGGCCCCTGCACCCGTGTGGAAGACCGGGAAGAAGCTCCTGGTTTTTGATTGGTCCAGCTCTGGCTGTTGCAGCCATTTGGGGGAGTGAACCAGTAGATGGAAGACCTCCCTCCCTCCCTCCCTCCCTCTGTCACTCTGTCTTTCTCTCTCTGCCTCTAAATTCTGACTTTCAAATAAATAAATCTTTTTTTTTTTTTTTTGACAGGCAGAGTGGACAGTGAGAGAGAGACAGAGAGAAAGGTCTTCCTTTGCCGTTGGTTCACCCTCCAATGGCCGCCGCTGCAGCCGGCGCACCGCACTGATCCGATGGCAGGAGCCAGGATCCAGGTGCTTTTCCTGGTCTCCCATGGGGTGCAGGGCCCAAGCACCTGGGCCATCCTCCACTGCACTCCCTGGCCATAGCAGAGAGCTGGCCTGGAAGAGGGGCAACCGGGACAGAATCCGGCGCCCCGACCGGGACTAGAACCCGGTGTGCCGGCGCTGCAAGGTGGAGGATTAGCCTATTGAGCCATGGCGCCGGCTCAAATAAATAAATCTTAAAAAAAATTTTTAAAAATGAATAAACAAAAGAAAAAGAAATGTTTCTCAAAACAAAACAGAAGACCTTAGCAATACATGGCGACCATAAGAATAAAAGCTCAAAACTACAGAACAGATTAACAGATTAACAAAGGAATAAGATTTCAAGTTTTGATGAAAACAGCTTTTACTAAAAGCAAATGCCCTTAGGGCCAGCGCTGTGATGCAGTAGGTTAATTCTCCTCCTACAGTGCTGGTATCCCATATGGGCGACGGAAGGCCTCTCTCTCTCTCCCCATCTCACTGTCTATAACTCTCTCTCTCTCAAATAAATACATTCTTAAAAAAAAAAAAAAAATGCCCTCCAGGATCCAAATCTCAAAGGAAGGATAAACCTCAAGACTGAAGGCTCCAAACTCATTAGGACACTAAATATTCATGTCTTTAAAAATTTACCTGGGGGGGCCGGTGCTGTGGTGTGGCGGGTAAAGCCTCCGCCTTTAGTGCCGGCATCCCACATTGGTGCCAGTTCAAGTCCTGGCTGCTCCTCCTCTGATCCAGCTCTCTGCTATGTCCCAGGAAAGCAGAAGAAGATGACCCAAATCTTTGAGTCCCTGGACTCCCTTGGGAGACCAGGATAAAGCTCCTAGCTCCTGGTTTCAAATTGGCCCAGCTGATGTGGCCAACTGGGGAGTGAACCAACCAGCAGATGGAAGACCTCTCTCTCTCTCTCTGTCTCTCTGTAACTCTGCCTTTCAAATAAATAAGTAAATGCTTTAAAAAAAAATTTACCTGGGGCTGGCATTATGGTATGGTGGGTAAAGCCTCCGCCTGCAATGCTGGCATCCATGTTTGTGCTGGTTCCTGTCCTGGCTGCTCCACTTCCAATTAGCTCCCTGCTAATGGCCTGGGAAAATCCATTGAGGATGTCCCAAGTACTTGGGTCCCTGCTACTCACATGGGAAACCTGGAAGAAACTCCTGGTTCCTGCTTTAGGCCTGTCTCAGCCCCAGCCATTATGACCATCTGGGGAATGAACCAGAGGATGGGAGATCTGTCTCTCCCTCTCTCTAACTTTTTCAAATAAATAAATCTTTTAAATAAATGAAAATTTTACCTGTACTAGTATTTATGCTTATGAACAGCTCATCATAAAGTTCCACAGATTTAAACTAGTCTGCCCCCTCTCCACTTTCCTCATCTCTGTTAGGTTTGGTGAGCAATTCTGCAGAACTTGGGGTTTTTTCAGCCACATATGTATGGTATATGACAAAACACCTGTTACTTTCCACAGTATATCCATAAAGCAGTTTATGATCATATTCTGTGTGAAAACTGTCCAACTTTCTGCTATGGCAGAAAAACAAAAAGATTTCAAAGAAAATTTAATGTCATACACTGACTCTTATAAGCAAAGGGATTTATGTCTTCCTTTAAACACCTGCTTTTCAATAACAGAGAACTATGGCACTTGACTTACCCGAGGAAAAATGAAGACTAAGAAAAAGAATAAGCAGCACAATCTACAAGGCTTACCTTTGGTGCTTTTGGGAATGATCTGACTCCATCGTGGCTTATACTCTTGTTGACTGATATACTGATTGAACAAGCCATCTGCAAATATCAAAGAATGAGAAAGAATTACACCTAAACTAGCTCATACTTTCAAGCACACACACACACACACACACACACAACTTCAAAATGCAGGAGTCTACTTTAAGAGAACCACCAATTACTAGTATGTCATTAATAAAATAGTATATTTTCAAGAAGTATGAATTACTTCAATTTCATCTGATGCTATTCCAAATACAAAATATAAATAGTAAAGCTATCAGTTGACACAACCACATAAACAAATTGCTTTAGTTGCAGTTCATATTAAACTTATTTTCCATCAATATTACATATTTTAGATAGATTTAAAGACATGGCTATACTAAATGGATACTGATGTGACATGAACAAAGGGTTTAAGCAGAAACCACCAAGGAAGGAAAATGGAGTCATCTGGGAGGGAAAAAGGAGGGAAATTCAAGGCTGTGAAACAGAACTAGTAGAAAATAAAAAAATAATCAATAAATGTTCTATTTCATTGAGATATATAATTCTATTTCTTTAAAAATCATTTCTGGCACTAATATAAATACAAATGGGAACAGAAATAAACAAGGATGGAAAAATTCATATTTGTATTTAATTCCTTTTTGTGATCTCTCATCACTTTCTTTACTTTAGTTACGAAATTTCTCATCTTTACACCCTTACAGTGGAATGGATTCAGTCCCACTCTCCAGTCCCGCCCCACTGACAGTGCTGTGTGCTGGTGCTTTTTGTCACTGGCACACAAGAGAACTAGAGAAGGGAATGAGAGCACTAAGGACTCTGGTGGGGCCCTCATAGTGCACTTTCAAGAAAAGATAAAACTCATGCTTTAACCTACAAATTCTGTTATTGTATTGTTTTCACAGGGTATAAAACTACACAGACCAAAAGTTCCAGCAGCAGTAATAGAAGTATACTCACTAGTGAATACCAAGTTAGAATCCATGCTGTTCTACTTATTTAATTCTAAAATCTACTCTACAAACTAAGCGTTATTGTCTACATGTAACAGAGCAAGAAATAAATACATATAGAAATTAAGGAACTTTGCCAAAAGCATCCAGCTCTTTGGTAGGGCTGAGACTCAAATCCCACTATGCTTTACTTCAAAATATGTTTCATCAATAAATTATTTTTTAAAGATTTATTTATTTATTTGAAAGGCAGAGTTTAAAGAGACAGAGGGAAGGAAAGACACAGAGTATATGAACCATTTGCTGTTCACTCCCAAAATGGCTGCAATAGCTGGAACTGGGCCAGTCTGAAGCCAAGAGGTTCATCCAGATCTTCCACGTGGGTGCAGGGTCTAAGGACTTGGGCCATCTTCCTCTGCCCTCTCAGGCACATCAGCAAGGAACTGGATTGGAAATGGAGCAGCTGGGACTTGAACTTGCATCATATGGGACAGTGGCTTTATCTGCTATGCCGCATGCCAGGACCCCCATCAATAAATTTTTAATCTATATCTGAAAGAGGAATTCTTACACTAGTTACTACAGTATTTGGAGACTGAACTCCCTACAGACACCAGTTCATCTGGATGAAGCCTTACTCCATGTCCCTCAACAAAGATTAATTTAAGGGACTGGCATTGTGGCTAAATGGGTCAAGCCACTGCCTGTGACACTGGCATCTCAGGCATCCCATACGGGAAACCAGTCTGTGTCCCCACTGCTCCACTTTGGATCTACCTCTCTGCTAAAGGCCTGAAAAAAGCAGTGGGATTGGCTCAAGTGTTTGGAGCCCAGCCACCCTAAGGGGAGACCCAGATGAAGCTCCTGGCTCTGGCCTGGTTCAGTCCTGCCCTTTGCGGTCATCTGGGAAGTGAACCAGCAGATGGAAGATCTCTGTCTCTCCCTCTCTCTGTAACTCTTTCAAATAAATAAATAATTTTTTTAAAAAAAGGTTAATTTAAGAATTATGGAATGCAATTCAGGTTAAAGAAACAGGAATATTCTTGGAGACTTCTAGATAATGTTTCCTAACTTCTTAACTGATCTACAGGGGGAACAAAAATCACTTTTATTCCTCTGGACAATTTCTCTTCTGTATGCAATGCATATATATGCTAAAGCCAATTTGGAGAAATGTAAGAATGAATAAATTCTGTAACAATGATAGAGCAGAGAGTGATCTAAAAAAAACAACTGAATCACTCAATCAACCAACCATGAAATCCACCTTACCTCTAGACTTCTTAAGTGATAGAATAACATTTCCTTACTTTCTAAGAGTTTTCTTTTACATGCCCTCAAATAGATGTTACTATAACTGTCTTTACTATAAATGCGTCCTCTGAGCCAGATTTCAAGCTCAATAAAGATTTTTCCTTCAGTTACTGAAAGCAAAGACTTATCCAAAGAATATCTAAGTGAAATGGTCTGTTCTTCATGACTTACTCACCAGCGACCAAATAAATTACAGAAATCTCCCTAATTTCTCTTTTCTTGATAATAATGAAGCTCAGTTATAAATAATTCTTTAAGGTTTCCAGTCTTTTCAGTTACTTTCACCAGAAATTCCATGCTATACACTCATCAAATTTTTTTTCTTTGCTTTGGGACTTTTCAAGATTTTTATATAATGAAAGCTCCTTTTTAAATTGACACTCATAAATTGGCATTTACATTTTAATTATTATAGCAAGACAAACAAGTCGATTGACAACATCCTTTAGTAACAGTGTTTCTATCATCATATAATTTTTACCCCATGGACTTTTTTGTAGATTCTTGCACCATCCAGCCAACTCTGAACAAAATTCTCCTATTGCAAGAGTCGGAAACCTGTTTTTTCCAGAAAAAATGTTCTGAGGCTCTTACTAATAGTAATGATAGTAAGAAAAAAAAACCAGAAAATTTAATTCTATAGAAAAAAAATACAGTAATGAAACCTTATTTGGATTTTAAAATGGGACCTAAAATTTAGAAATACTTTTATAAAAATTTAGACATTGAATATAAAATTATTCAATAAGGCAATGACTTTTAAAATATACATTAATTCTACATAACGGCTGAGATGGTAAGAAAGATAGAGAGTAAATGATGGGGGAAATAGAGACGCAAGGAAACTGCAGGACAGTGGGAACCACAAATCACACTTTTAACTGTGAAACCAGGCTAACATTGCCTAGATGTGTCACACTGATTCAATACAAGACATTTAATATATTCCTTACATGTAAAAGTGGGATTTATGAGTTGAGTGGGCCTGACCTTCCTTCTGAATATGTATACATACACACACACACACACACACACACACAGATGGAAAAATATAATATTGACAGACATCAGAAAGGTAAAAATGATTTTCTTTGGTTGGCAGGATTAGGATCTCTGTTTTGGATGTGTTCTTTATATTTTTCTATTTTCCTAATTTTTTAGATCAAGCACAACAATTACCAGAAGTAAAACCTAAAACAACTAAATATGTGGAATTATATTCTAAACTTTAGAAGAACTTTGTAACATACTGCTATTAACAATATAAGCTATTTTTATATGTTTTATTACCCTGGAGATATCTATTTCATACCTTACTAGACACATTCACATTTCTACAAGCAGTGCTTTCTACACTGACATTACCTTCTTTAAAAACAATAGAGAGAGCCAACTATGTTCAAAGGCATTTATAATAATATTTATAATAAGGCTTGGAGAAGAAATTACTCTCAAAATGTAAAATATTAAGTACCATAAATCTAAAATATTAGTAATTATAATGGGAAAGGCATGTGGCCTACTGGTTTAGATGCTGGTTAGGACGCCCACAACCGTATCAGAGTGCCTGGGCTCAGTCCCCAGTTCCAGCTCCTGATTCCAGCTTTCTGCTGGACAGACCAGGAGAGGCACGGGGACAGCCCCAGCAGTTAGGTTCCTGTTGTAGACTGAGTCCCCAGCTTCCAGTCTGTTGTGGATAGCTGAGGGGTGCCATCAGACGGGAGCTTTCACTCTCCATCTGTCTCTTTTTGCCTCTCAAAGAAAAAAATTTAAAAAATGAATTAAAGAAAGAGAAAGAGAACTTACCATGATTTTACTTTAGGTAAGATGAAACTAACCTCATGAATAGCTGGTAGTAAAGCATCAGAGATGCTTGGTACATGATAAGAACTCAGAATTCTAAAATCAGGTGGGGGCAGAGCAGCTTCCCCAGCCACATGGCTGACACTTCCTTTGAGGCAGCTACCTTACATTGAAATTGCTCATAAAACTTCTACTTCCAGAACACCACATCCCTAGTTCACAATGGCTGGAATGTTTCTAAGTCTTGTGTCTTATGCTAAGTCATGTTTCTGCCAAAGGTAGTCTGGTTTATTTTACAAAGACTAGTCAAGCAAACATTAAAAATTATTGTTTTCAGAACTTTTTAATTTTCCTCTCTCACTTCATTCCATCTGTCTCCACTACTTCAAAGTCACACACCGTCTTTGAGATGTCTTACTCTTCCAGGGAGGCTAATGGGAAACCTTAAGAAAATTATTTAGAGGTAGCATTATTAAACCTGGGATTAAAGATATTTTACCAAAGATGAAAAGAACTGAAACTTTTATGAATACCTACTGAATGCAAAATACTACCTAGGTTAACTGATTTTCTTCTTAAAATAAAAAAATTAATGATCATCAATAATGACAATGATTAATAAATCAAAGTTCTGAAAAGTTGAATAACATACCCAAAGGCTCTACAAAAAGTATAAAGCCCAATTCTAAACTCCATATTCTTTTTTTTTTTTTTTTGGTGACAGGCAGAGTGGACAGTGAGAGAAAGAGACAGAGAGAAAGGTTTTCCTTTTGCCATTGGTTCACCCTCCAATGGCCGCCACGATCGGCGCACCGTGCTGATCTGAAGCCAGGAGCCAGGTGCTTCTCCTGATCTCCCATGCGGGTGCAGGGCCCAAGGACCTGGGACATCCTCCACTGCCTTCCTGGGCCACAGCAGAGAGCTGGCCTGGAAGAGGGGCAACCGGGACAGGATCCGGTGCCCCGACCAGGACTA